GTGCACACATAGACACACATAATTTTAATGTTTTACAAGGTAGGATCATATATAAATCATACTTGATCTATCTTATAATTTTACATGTCCTCATTAAAACCATAAATGATATAGCCTCCTTGTTTTTCTCTTATCTAAAGTTTCTCTTTATCTATCTTTTATCTAAAGCTTCAGCAGTTTGGCTATCTCCTCTTAGTTTCATTTTCTTCTTCTGTCACCTGCTCAAGATCACTAGCCAGGCCCAAGATTTCTCATGAAATATTTTTCTAAAATAGATAGTTCTATTCCTAAAATAAATGTTGGTGTAATATTTAAAATATTTTTTCTAGGCAAAAATATTACCTGTATAAATTATAGTATATTTAAATACCTTTCTATAAATAAACATCTAAATTATTTACCAATTTCTCCCAATTATAAGCAAACAGTGATGGTTGCTTACTTATGTAACTCTACATTGTCACAATAATTTATTTAAAATAAATTCCATGGAGGAAGACCAGAGGGAAAATGGTTATGTATATTATAAAAGTTTTTGATATTACATCAAATTATTATCCACATGTTTTATAACATTTTACCTTAACTGGTATGATTGAATGTGAAAACTTATAGGATCCACTTGCTGTCTCTTCACCATTAAATAGTGTGTTCTTATGTCCAGCCCTTTCCATTTAAGGCAAAATGCATTATTAAGATGCTATTAAATTTTTTCTATTACATTTTTGATTTTTTTTCCTCAAACATAGTAAATTGTGAGTCCTTCTACACTTCCTTAAATGTTTTCTCACCTGTAAAAGATTTGACAGAAATTTGCTGACCTTTCTGGCACTAACACGTGTTGTTCCCTATGTTGGAATTTTCCTGGTATTTCAATAGATGCTGGAAGAGAGAGAGTTGAATATGTGTTGTTTGTGAAGACATTTTTACCTGTAAACTTCATCTAGTTTTATTTACAAATTGAAATATCAGAAAAATATAAGTTAAAGAATTCTTTGGAAAAAAACTTGAAAATGGATACTGTTAGGATTCAGAAAATGATAAATAACTTCCAATAGAATAAAAAAGTTAAGAGCAACTAAATCATAGTCCATAATATAAAGAAGTAAAAAGATGCTGTGATGAAACAAAGAGTTTAAAAAACAGATTAAGGCCAGGCGTGGTGGCTCACGCCTATAATCCAAGCACTTTGGAGGCCAAGGTGAGCAGATCACCTGAGGTCGGGAGTTCAAGACCAGCCTGGTCAACATGGTGAAACCCCATCTTTAAAAGAAAAAAAAAAAAAAAGAAAAAAACATATACATATATATATATATATATGTATGTATATATATATATATATATATAAACAGACTAAAAGACGAAAAATTTAACAGTAAATTACATCAACAAATTAAAATCAGTTTAACTACTCAGTTTAAAGTAATTCAACAAATGCTTAGAGTATTTAGTATAATCCAGGTACCACCAGGTCCTGAAGAGTTCGTGGTGAGCAAAATATACACAGGACCTCTGTTCATGAAATTTAGTATAGTAGAGAATATATTAAAGAGACAGTTACAAGTTATGTACTTCATCAGAGAGTAGATCAAGATGAATATAACATGTATCAAAATGGTTTTCTAAAGAGCTTGCAGTAAGTCTTGATCTCATACATCAGTTTTTCCTCATCATTAGTGATCTGCTGTGCATAAGCCAGCATTATATTTGACACTCAAATAGTAGAAAGAAACACTTTTGACATAAGAAATAAGACAAAGACGATTGGCATCATCAGTAACAATTTTATATAAGTTCTTACAAAAAGAAAACAGGAAGAGAGAATAATTCATATTAATCCTATGAGAGACATGCAGAACAATAAAACATTACCTATTTCAAAGAATTTAAAAAGGGAGTATCTGGAATCCATGTGCAGAGTGTGCAAGTTTCTTACACAGGTATACATGTGCCATGGTTGTTTGCTGCACCTATCGACCCATCATCTAGGTTTTAAGCCCAGCATGCATTAGGTATTTGTCCTAATGCTCTCTCTCCCATTTCCCTCTCTAACCACCCACCCCCCTGACTTGTCCTAGTATGTGATGTTCCCCTCCTGTGTCCATGTGTTCTTGTTTTTCAACTTCCACTTATGAGTGGGAATACGTGGTATTTGATTTCCTGTTCCTGTGTTAGTTTGCTGAGGATGATGGCTTCCAGCTTCATCCATGTCCCTACAGTGGACATGATCTCATTCTTTTTTACGGCTGCATAGTATTCCATGGTGTATATACGTCACATTTTCTTTATCTAATCTATCACTGATGGGCATTTGGGTTGGATCCATGTCTTTGCTATTGTAAATAGTGCTGCAATAAACATATGTGTACATGTGTCTTTATAGTAGAATGATTCATATTCCTTTGGGCATATATCCAGTAACAGAATTGCTGGGTCAAATGGTATTTCTAGCTCTAAATCCTTAAGTAATCACCACACTGTTTTCTACAATAGTTGAACTAATTTGCATTTTCACCAACAGTGTAAAAGCGTTCCTGTTTTTCCACAGCCTCACCAGCATCTATTGTTTCCTGACTTTTTAAAAACTACCATTTTTACTTGCTTAAGGTGGTATCTCATTGTGGTTTTGATTTGCAACTTAAAGTAAAATAATATATATAATATATATATATATATACACACACACACACACACACACACACACACACATATATTTTAAGTATCCTGAAATAAGAGAGGCCAGGTGATGACATGTAACCCCACAAGCAAGGTGGGCCCAAATATAATGAACAACAACACTGGAGTAGCAGCCACAGGGCCCTGAGAAAAAAGAAGCTATGAAGTTGGTTAAAAGAATGCTGGTGGCAAAATACATGAATAGCAAACAACGAACTTAGTCACCCTACACAATCATAAGAAATTATGGTCTCTAGATATTTGGAAATTAAAGAACATATTTCTAAATAACTAATGGATCAAAGAAGAAGTTTTAAAAAGAATTTATAGACTATAACTGAATAAAAATGAAAACACAACTTACCAGTGATAAAAAGAATGAACGATTGATGGAAGAAACAAAATAATTATTTTTTCTTTTTCTGTTCAAAATAATTATTCTATGTGTAACAAGACAGAAAAGAATACATACTGCATGATTCCATTTACATAAAACTCTAAATAATACAAGGTGATGTACAGTGACAAAATGCAGATTAGAGGTTGTTTGGAGGGCAGGAAGGATAGGAGAGAGATTACAAAGCGGCACAAGAATATGTTTAGATTTTATTATCTGTTTTTCATCTTTATAATTACCTTGATTGTGATTACTTTTCATGGTTTTTTACATATGTCTAAACATAAAATTGTATACTTTAAACATGTATGGTTTGCTGCATGTCAATTATATCTCAATAAGACTATTAAAAACAAAGATTCTACAGCTCTTTTAAAAAAGAGAGAAAGAACTTTAATAGCATTAACTGAATATCAAAATCACCACATAGTTTAGGACATTTACTCTGTTCCCAAAGACCAGGCAAAGAAAAGACAAAAACAGGTATAATATGCTGAATAAAGTTTTCAGTCTAGCAAGTGAAGAAAGATAAGAAATGGTTGCAAGAGAGCGTGATTAAGAGCAGTACAACGAGTGAACACAGAATTTTACGGCAAGAGGAAAGCCAACTAACCCCTTTGTAAGTGAATCAGGAAAAGGCTTCCCTTAAGATGTCAAGACAAAGCAGAACCCTAGAGCATAAAAATGGATAAATGGAAAGATCTTTCTAGACAGCAAAATTGTTTATTTGAAATGTAAGATGTAAGAGAAGGCTTGACACATTCTATGCATTATGAAGAAATCAGCATGCCACAATCTTTAGTAGGAGGCGGGAATAGAAGAAGAAATCTGTTTTGAGAGGTTATCATTCTTCAATCAGGAAAGGAATTTAGACTTTTCCCAGAAAAACATGGGCAGTGATTAAAGGATTATACGCAGCACAGTGACATTACCAAATTTATGTCTCAGAAATACATTCAAAAGTCAACACCTGTGTTTACAAGTTATGTTAGTCAGAATTCTCGAGAGGGACGGAACTAAAAGGGTAGATGAATATATGAAGGGGAATTTATTAGAATTGACTCACACAATGGCAAGGTTAAGTCCCACAATAGGCTGTTGGCAAGCGGAGGAGCTAGTTGGAGTTTCAAAACCTCAAAAGTAGGGAACCTGACAGTGCAGCCTTCAATCTGTGGCTAAAGCCCCAAGAGCCCTTAATAAATCACTGACGGAAGTTCAAGATTTCAAAAGCTGAAGAACTTGGAGTCTGATGTTCGAGGGCAGGAAGCCTCCAGCATGGGAAAAAGATAAAGACAAGAAGACTCAACAAGTCTGCTCTTTCCACCTTCTTCTGCTTGCTTTATTCTAGCCAAACAGACAGCTGATTAGATGGTGTCCACCCACATTGAGGGTGATATGCCTCTCCCAGTCCACTGACTCAAATGTTAATCTCCTTTGGCAACAGCCTCAAAGACACTCCCAGGAACAATACTTTGCATCCTTCAATCCAATCAAGCTGACATTTAATACAAACCAAGGCACAACTTATTGCCATATCTATGTGATAAATGGTTATGACCACAACTATCATGAACAGAAAAACAAACACCACATGTCCTCACTCGTAAGTGGGTGTTGAACAATGAGAACACATGGACACAGGGAGGGGAACATCACACACTGGGGTCTGTTGGGGGGTTTAGGGGCTAGGGGAGGGATAGCAAGGGGAAGGAGGAATTGGGGAGGGGTAACAGGAGAAATACCTAATGTAGGTGATGAGGGGATGGATGCAGCAAACCACCATGGCATGTATATACCGATGTAACAATCCTGCACAATCTGCTCATGTTCCCCAGAACTTAAAGTATTGAAAAAAAAAAAAAAAGATGATGAATTCTGGCTTGGCCATGTGGAGCCTGAGATGCCTGTACCATGTTCCAGTTGGAAATGTCCAATATGCATACTGGTGACCAGAAAAGATGGAGAGTGGAGAATTGGGATTGTGAGTTATTAGTGCATATGAGATACAAATTAGTGTATTTAAGAGACAGAGATTAGCACTTAAGTTGAGTAAATAAGGCAACTCCCTCTCTTCCCACTACCAGTAGACCCAGTGGAGCAAAAACATTTTTAAAACATTTTTTATTAACTTGTTTCATTTGTATAGATAGCCATGATGAACAGGTGACTTAAGAGCCCATAATTAAAGTATCAACACAGTCAGCATTAAGTAGGATTATTTGTAACAATAGTTATTCTTTCTTCATATTTATTAACTAAAGTTGAATAAATCATTGGATTTCAGAATGTAGGATATTGACACAGAAGAATTTTCCCTACAGACACATAACTGAAAGAATTTCTCTTTATATATATTCTTACCCATTGAACATGATCTGATTTTTCATTAAAGATAGAAAAACAGATTAGCATAGATTGTCTTCTAAGGAAAGACAATATTAATGAGCTAGATACATTTAGGGTAAGATATATGAAGTATTTCTGGTTTATGGCCAACTATGTTAAATTCATTCAACAATAATTACATAATGGCTACTATAAGCCAGACATTCAGTCAAAAACATGGATTCAGTTCTGGGCTTCTAGATTAAAGTATATTATTTGACTAGAAAATAGACTTTAGGATGATAATTCCCTAGAAATCAAACACTAGTCTCAAAGAACTAAGAGATCAATGCCCTCAAACAGACTACAAGTTAATTTAATCATAATTTCTCATTTTCCGGAAAAATTTGAACAGTGTGTTGGGTCCCTTTCTCCATTTTCCTGCATTGATATTCCTCACAGGCTTTGTTCTGGGAGATGATGACTGATTTCTATTTGGTTTTCTGGGATGCAGCTGGTAATCTTTACTGCTTATGAACTCAAGCCAGTTGACCCCTGGAGGCAACCGATGGTAACTGAGTACCTTAGGGAATACACGACGTGAGAGTGTGGGTGTCAAAAACTCATTGGAATAAGGGTGAGAAAAGGGTGAGATGGAAGAGGAAGAGGAGGAAGAAGATGAAGAAGAGGAGGAAGAAGAGGCAGAGGCAACAGAGTAAGAGGAGGAAAAGGAAATGGAAGAGGAAGAGGAGGGTGGGAGCAGGGATTGTGACTGAGAATTATTTTTTTTAACATAAAACAGCCAGTCAATAGCCTGAGTCTGTTGGCCTATAACTTTGTTTTCAGGGGCTGCCATCAACCATTTCTGCTTCTTACTAAGTCCCTGGATATCCTGTTCAGATGTGGGGGGAAACTGCGGCATGTTTTCTACTCCTTCAAGGTTGTTTTCAGGGGCTTCACCAGGCTGGTTTTCTTTCATAGGGAATGGGAGAGAAGATGAGAAAGTCTCTGGTAGAGAAAGGATAAGAACTAATTTCACCTCTATTTTGCCCTCAGAATTGGCCTCAGGTGTTGGTATGACAAAAAGTGTTGCACAACGAGGATTTTTCTTCCCTGCAAGATGGTTACATGGAGATTTTATGCAGGAAGCACAAGCTAAGCAAACCATATAATTTGATGACAGGCGAGGACCAGGACGAGGATTTGGCCTTCCCCTCATCCTTCGAAGCAAAATCTGCCTACAGAGATCCCTCTGTATTCTGGTCTTTGAGATAGAATTGACAATTGTATTTACCACATCATCAGGGACAGTTCCACCTTTAACAACACAGGGCTGACTATACTTTAAATTCCATTGACTTTCTTTATTTGGTTCTGTCTCTGGAGAAAAATCACAGCTGCTTTTACTCTGGAGTCTGAAACCCAATGTTGAAGCAGCTGTGTTTCTGGTGCAGCGTTTGGAGCTTGATAATAATTGACCTGAGACATTTGTTTTTGGATGGGGTGATGGTAGGTGTGTGACTCTGTGTTTGTCATTTGGTGAAGTGGTATTCTGAAACTTGAAGTGACAGACAGGTGAACTGGGGGTCTGGGAATTACAATCAAGCATAAACATTGACTGAGAATTGAGGTGGAATGATGGTAAACTCTCAGATGGGTGGACAAAATATGATGATGATGATTCCCTTGCTTTTGAATGGGACAATGGTAAGCTTACAATAGTGGGGTTAGAGTTCAATATAGATGTTTTCTGAAGTCTAGAGTCAAGAAATGGAGAGGTAAGAGCCATTTGATTGGTTTTGAAAGAAGGTGGTGACCCAAGTAAGTCACCTGTTTGGAGTTTTGTGTTGAGTGATGGCAAACTCAAAGATCTCTGATTGTGCTGCAGTAAAGATGTCCAGAAGCAGTCCAATGAGGATGTGTTCTGAAGTTTGGATTGAGGTAATGTTGAGCTAAGTGCTCTTTGTTTGGATCCCAATGAAGATGCTGCCCAAACGATGTTTACGGAAGGTATTTCTTGATTTTGGAGAGGAAATAATGATGAACTTGAGACTCTTTGATTAGACTTCAATGAAGGTGACCCCCAGCAAACATCTAGGCTTGAAGATGTTGTTCGAGGTTTAGAGAAGAGTAATTGTGAACTCAAGACTGTTTGATTGAGCTCCAGTGATGACGTCTTGTTGAGGTCAGATAAAGATGTTGTTTGAGCTTTGGAGTACAACAAATGAGAGCTCAGGGCTCTATGAGCAGGCCACAATGAACTTCTCCAGGGGAGGCCTCGTGAAGGTGTCTTATGATGCTTGGCATGGGACAATGGCAAATTCAGAGTCCTATCACAGAAGATCTGTGAAATTTTGTCCTGGGATTTGGGAGAAGGCAATACTGAGCGTCTCTGGACCTTCCTGTTGGAGCTCACTGGAGGTACTGCAAAGTGATTGCTATGGGATTGCACTTTGGCCACAGGTTGGTTATTGAATTGATTTAGTTTTTCACCTGTATTTTGATGTGTTAATGAATTGGCCAAGGCCAGTTGGTAGAAGTAGTCTAATGGTACAAAATGTTGACCATAACATGCTAATGGCACCATCTTGTGTTGTGGGTAGAGGCCAACAATGGATACTTATACATAATTGCTAGCTTATATCTTGTAATATTTCTGTTAATCCTCAAATACTATAGACTATTGCAAAATTGAAATGTAAATGAGATTGAGATTATCTTCTGTATTTTCTTTAGCTTCCGACACTTTTTTCTCCTGAGGAAATAATGCCTGTTAACAAAATAGTAGGGAAAGGTCAGAAGAGGTCCTCATAGAAATATTAATTTTCTCAAGCATTTTCTTATAGTGACTACAGCACAGGTGTTATGTCAAATTCCAGCCACTATGTGTATTGCATCTACTTAGTGTATCACTATGCATATCTTTTAAATTAAACTTTCAAAACCCCAATTCATCATCTTTAAAATAGACAAATATGATATTTAACTTATTGGGCTAAAGACTAAATTATATATATATTCTAACAGTGCCCAGGATATTATATTATAGGTGCTTAATAAAATGTAGTAGTTATAGGTGCTTAATAAAAAGTAGGTGCTCTTTTAATAATTGCATTTGTAAAACAAACAAAAATCTGTGATAAGTTTATTTTGTGTAAAAAAAAGAAAAATGAAAAGGAAGCTTGAAATGTTTACTTTCAATTTAGATTCAGTTGACCATCACTATCATCTTTTAGAGTTTATTTCCAAAAGCGTATCACATATTTTCAGTTATTTGTCACCACTGCAGCATTGAAACTTTTGACTATACCCTTTTAAACTACTGTTTTGTTGTTATCCATTATTTCTCCACACACTGATCCTCTACCCTTATTGTCCTATTCTTTTTCAAGGCTTGATTGAATTCTTTACTTTTGCCCCAACCCCAATTTAGTTGTAAGAGTTATATTACCAAGCCTCACCTATTTTCAATTTATTTCTAAGTAATCACATCAGTTATGTTTAGGATTTTTATATGAACTAGAGGCTTCTTAAAATGATAGAACCTTATAGCTGGTCAAAAGTGATGCAAGCATCTACCACTCAAGAAAGGGACCTATGCTACTTCTTAAAGGCAATGCATAGGGTGTCATGTCACACAACTTTATTTTTCATAGTCAAAGGTTTGTTCTTCAGGCTTTAAAGCCAAGATATATGACACAATTAAAAAAAAAAAAAAAAACTAAAGTGATTATAACAGATTCTGAAATCAGTCAATTAAGTCCTTGGCCTGAGGCCCTTGAAGAATGAAAAGTCTTAGAATTTGTTTCCATGACTATTTCTGTGTTTCCATGACTTACCAACCCAATATCTGATGGACAAGCTTATTTCTCATATATGCCAACTTATCCAGTTAATTTACTATCAATTCTATTATTGCTAGAAGTTTTTTTCTTTATATCAAGGTGACTTTTCACAGTTACTTTTCCTTTGCATTTATTTTTAAAATATGTCTTATTAGTATCATAATTCACTTGTTTTTCAAGCCTTACATCATTGTGGAATTTTCCAAGTAACAACAATAAGGATAGTCATATACCATTAACTAATGTTTTGTTTCTAGTCCTAGTTTATCTCTTGAGCTTCCAAAGAGTATTTCCAAATAATCATCAAGCTTCTTCATCCAAAAGTTCCAAAGACGATTTAAAGACAAAACAAGAAAAATTTAATAAAGTTATTTCTCTTTCCAGAGAAATCTTTTTCTAAACCCTCTGTCTCAGTTCCAAACACTTAGTCATTTAATTCAGATACTTTGAAATCATTCCAGGCAGCTTCACCCTCCCAAGCCATTTAGACACCAAGACCTGTTGATTTTATCACTTCCATATCTTAATTCACCGTTTTCTATAGAACACCACCACTATAGGGTACATCTTATTAAAACTGTACAATTATAGTAACTTCTATATATCTTTTCAATATGACTTCACTGTCTCTCTTCTCATTGTTTCCTGTGAGACATATAAAAGCACACTCTTACTGGTGAGATACCACTGCTGCTCACTCAAAGATTTTCATTGCTTTCCACATGCCTGCATGAGTAATAAACCTGAAGTTTCTCTAGCTTGTTGGACCTGGGGTTAGGGGAGAAATGCACAATCTACAATATTCTACAGACTATCCTACCAAACTTCTAAATGGCAAAATGAAATAACTTCATAAATTTGGAGGATGCAAAGATTTCTTAAACAGAGCAAAGTAGTAGCCATTAAGAATTGATAAATTTAAGAACTCCCAATAACCAAAAGACATCATATTGGAAAGAATAAAGGCAAATTACAATACATATGTATATATATATATATATATATATATATATA